AGCGGTTTTGAAAAGGCGATTCCAGGGCCGACCCCGTGGCGCACTCGGGAGAGTGCAGCGCTGGGAGTGCAGCGACGCTCCCGCTGCGGGTTTGGATCCTATATAGGGATGACCGGTGCGCTCACTGGCTGAGCACGGTGCGGGCGACACCAAGCCAAGGGTTGCGATCCCCTTACCGGTCACAAAAAAAGGACAAAAAACAAAAAGAAAAGGCGATTCCAGGAGGTGGGAGGAAACTAGAAAAGGGGAAGAGACACCAGGCAGGGGCGAGTCTGAGGGACAGAGGGGCCAGATGCTGAGGAGGGGCCAGATGCTTCAGCAGGATGGGACAGGCCACTGATTGGCCATTCTCAGATCCCTGGTGACTCTAGTGACTGAGAGGCCTAGGCAAAAGGGAGAGGGTGACTGATGGGGCGAAGTCCCTGAAGAAGTAGAGAGATGGGATCCAGAGCCCAGGAAGAAGGACCCCTCTAAGGGAGCCCTGAGGACAGGCCGCGAGGGCAGAGGCAGATGGAAATACTCAGAGGAAAGGGGCCTGGTCACGTGGCACAGCTGCCATGCCACCAGGGATGTGGTGAAGTCGTTTGCTGAGATAGGGGCCTGGTGGTAGAGGGGAGGGGAGGTGACCAGAGACAGGTCAATGCCCCGAGGGCTCTGCCGAGGCTGGAGACCATGGATCCGGGTTGTTCTCGGCCTGCATGGTGCAGGGTCACAGACATGGGTATTGGGCCAGCCCAAGGCTGGGGATGGCACAGTTGCCATGAGGGCAGGACCAGCTGGCACAGGAGTGCTGGCAAGTGTGGCTGAGGTGACGCTGACAGGTCGGGCTGGGCTGGGAGGGAGCGAGGCTGGGAAGACGGTGACAGCCTTGGAGGACAGGGAGGGGTCACAGGCTGGGCACAGAGAAGTCAAAGGGCAGGTGCCGTGAGCACAAGGGGGTGAGAGATGCCGGGGGTTGAGATCTCAGAGGAGGAGCTGGGGCCGGGGCGTGAGGGCCAGGGGGGAAGTGCGGTTGTGGAAATGAATTTCTAAAGGGAAGCCTCAGGAGCCAGGCAGAAGGAAAGTGGGGGGCCCAGCGTTGAGGGATAGTATTACCGACATCCACCGAGCGCTTACCAAACGCTGGCACAGGTCCACACCCCTTACCTGTGTCGTCTCAGTTAGTTCTGGCGATGCCCCTGTGAGGTCTAGTGTTGTTATTCTCATCTTGCAGATGACAGAACTGAAGCGCAGAGGCGGGAAATAACCTGCTAGTAAATGGGGATCCAGCCAGGACCGGAGCCCGGGCTGGCTGCCTGGAGCGAGAGCCCCTGTCCCTACCCACTGCACTAGACTGCCTCCTTGGGAAGCAGGCGGTGACAGGTAGGGAGCGCTACTGGGTGCACCGCAGTTGTCGCCTTGGTCAGGAAGCCAGTCTAGTTCACAGGACACGCCCACACCTGGGGAGGGAGGGGTCAGTTGTTCACCCGGGGCTGCCACACTAAGTCCTGCCCAACAGCAGCACAGGCGAGAAGAACCTGTGCGAGAGAGAAAGTCTCCAGGGCTGCTGTCTCCAGGTCCTGAGATGGGCTTCAGGACTCCTCATCAGATGTCCCCCCACTGGTTACCAAAAGAAGGATCAAACCCTTCACCCCAAGGATGGAAGGAGGCCCACAGCCCCGACAGCCCCTCTAGAGCCTGTTACCGTCTGCAGAGCACGCTCCCACATGAGTCGGGTGAATTGTTCCTGCTGAGCAGACGAGGCCACCGGGCCATGCAGAGCAGCGCCTTGCCCATGGCCACACGGCTGGTGAGAGGCACATCAGCGGGACACTGGACCTGCTGTTCTCTCCATGGCTCCACCCTGCAGGTGCTCTCGGGGCTACGATGGTGTGTCCCTCCCAGGAAAGCCAAACTTTTCAGGCATTTGGACAGGGAGGGAAGAATTCTACTTCCTTCCCTCTCACCCACTCCCCACCCGCTCACTGAACTCTCCTCCCACCGTACTCGCTCTGTCAGTAGACGACGAGGGGACCAGCAGCGTCCCTCCCACTGTGGCTGTGACAGGGCCTGCCGTGAGCAGGCTGGTGGACCAGGGGCCCTACTTGAGGAGCTGCCACTGCAGGTGCCCAGACCTAGCTCTGCTCAGTGCCTCAGCCTCCTGTGAGCCTCTAGGGTAGAAGATTTTATTTCCAGGTCAGGCTGAGAAATGGCCACATTCCTCCATGCCAGCGAGGTCTCCTGCC